AAGGATCTGCATAGAGAGGAGGCAATCAGGACTGTAGTGAGTTAAAATATCTCGATACCCAGGCATAATTTTTAATTTTCCAGTGAATTTTGTAGCAACTCTAAAGAAATAGCAATAATGTCTTGGAAATGTATACCTGAATTGAAATCATAATTTTTATAAAATAGCTCAATTAGATCCTATTCAGAACACTTATTTTAGATTAATCTATGGTTACAGTTCAGTGGTTTACTGTGAGTGTAAACTACCTCTTGGTGTTCGAAGGCTCTCTGGAGTACCAAAAATGTCGGAAATGCCATTATGGACCTGGGAAGACTTGGATGATGAGGAGTGCAGGCAGTGCTTTTCTGAGGGTATGGAGGGCCTTCAGGGTCTAGTTCTGAAAAAGCAAAGCAGTGTAATAAATTCATACACACTCAATTAATGGTTAGCAAAATTGTGGATACCATCCCCCACCCCTGCCACAGAAGAGGAGGTTGCTCTCTACAAGAAGAAAGCCAGAGTGAACTGGCCTGCCAGAAAATATCAAGGGTTGGACTACAAAACTAGCCTGTCTGTTATCATTGTCAAGCATCAAAAATGGGCAACCTCTAGGGTCACTAGTGTTTTATAGACATCAGTAACCTTTATACATCTAGTACAGTGTCAATCATCTGGCATTGTTCCAACTGGCCAGTCCACAGATCAATAGTACAATGACAACAATTGCTCAATACAGTGGCTCTAGGGAAATTAATTATATAGAAGTATTTTGTTACTCATCTGCCATGTTTTTGCAGCACATCTGCTTCACCTTATACCTGCAATTAAATTAATTTATTAAAACAATTGTCATAGTACATTGAGTGGCATTGCAGTGGTTAAGAGCATCAGAGTTAGACTAACCTGACTTTGAATCTTTGGTCTGCCCCTTACTGTCTGTGAAACCTTGGGCAAGTAACTAAACCCCTCTGAGCCCATGTTTCTTTATCTATAAAATGAAAAAAAGAAGAATACCTATCTCACAGGTCTTTTGGAGTGGAGATTATATAAAATACTTAGCACAATGCTTAACACCTTGTAAGCACCCAATAAACAATTATATTGATGGTATTTATTGATGATACAACATTGCAACTGTTTGCTTGACTTTTTCCAAACTAAACTATGAGGTCAAGGATTTTGTCTTACTCATTTCTCCAAACCCAACACCTGGTAGAGGGTGTGGCATCAAAATATTGAATGGATGGACAAATGGATGACTGAACTGCAGCATAGAAATGACATTTGACTCTTTGTAACTCCCTAGCTCAGATGTGTACAGAGAATGGAGGCTGATAATGTTGCCAGGTAACTACTCTAGGCTGAGTAAGTACAAGTCGCTAGCCAGCACAAAGACTTAAGGCTACACTGAAACATTACATGATTTTAACTCTGAGGAACTAGCTAGCCCAACTAACACACAGCATTTGCAGCATTTCCAGTAAGCTGGGATTTGGGGAAGTGCACAATTCAGAAAAGGGAGTACAAACCAACATCTTATGACACTGCCACCAATGACTGTGCCAAGTCAAGAAAGCATTGTGGAAAGGGTGCTAGAAAAAGAAATGGTAAAAGCAAAACAGAACAGGGTATTTATTGTGATTTGAAGGAATACATCTTGGCCTTTTCCACAACATTTTATAAAGTGATTTCAAATCTCCTTCAGAAGATTAAATTCCTTACATAAGTGGTAGTACTAAGTACTTGCTGATAGTACTCCTCAAGCCAGGTCAGAGACCTGGAAAAGGAAGAGAATTTCTCTGGTGTTCTGTTCCCAAGGTGTTTTAAATTGTTGGACTACTTTGATTTCTCAGGTTCTTTCAATGCTTATAAAAGACCCATGATTTTAAATGGCTATTTTCTTAGTTGGCATTGGAAATTCGCGTATTCTCTGCTGCTTAATGGTTGAAAATAAAGAAAATAAGTAATGTGTTAGGAACTTTTGAAATGTCATATACAACTTGCCCTCTGACAAGCCCTGCCAGGCAGTGTGGTCTGTGGAACTCTTGGGATATTGAACACAAGGAAGAAAGGGAGTTTATCTACTCTGGCTTTGGCCATATGTCATGAATACATTTGCTTTTAAATGAATGTCATAAAATATTAATGTAATCATACCAAACAGCAGAGGGGTGAGTACATTAGTCGAAAGTTATATTTATCCTGTGTATTTGTTTTTTGTTTGTCTCCATTTATTAGTAGACAGTACATGGAGATAGGCATTTCTTTCTCAGTCAAAGTGGCAGAACTTGTTTAATGAACTGATGTTTCTGTAATCTGTGGTAAGGTAGAGCTGTGAGTGACAGAGCTATATGAATAACAATGAGGAGGCAGGCAGGACAATAAAAGGAAGACAAACATTTCAGTAGGAGGGAAAAATAGATGGGATTGTTTAGTTGGCACACAATGTAATCTAATCTTTTCCTACTGAAAATTAACAGTTTGTAAATGGGTGAAGTAATTTAACAGTTTTTCCAAAATCTTATACATAATGAATGAAATTTTCAGCGTTCATATTCCATAGCACAGGAATAGAGTGTCAGGGGCCTTAAGTTCTCCAAAATGAAAAGGAAGACCTGAACCCCCGTCTCCATTGGCCTAGAGCCTGAAATATGGGCTATCACAAATGTTTGAGGACTGTGGGAATGAATGCCTGGATAAGTGAATTTATTCCTGTATATATGCATTCTTTGAATGACAAGAAGGAAAGTTACCTATCAGGACTAACACCTATCATGCCAGAAGTTTTCTTATCTGTTCTGTCCTTTTATTCTTTGAGATAAACCTCATTGTTTATCCCCACTTTTACAAAAAAAAAAAAAAAAAAGGAAATGGAGGCACACAGATATTAGGAAACCTGCCTCAAGGTCACATAACTAGTATGTGGAGAAAAGTAGGGATATAAAAGCCACAGGGAAGAAGGGAAGGAGTGTGTGTGTACACACATGTATGTTGGGTGAGGTGACATATGAGGGCTAAAAGTAAATTTGTTTTCAGAAAAATAATATTTACTCTTAGAAGAAAATTTTTGCATACCATACATGTCTAGGGTCTTGACCTCTCAGCATGGCAGACATGTGAGTGGATGAGGAATGCCTAAACTCTCTTGGGCTGGCTTGCAATGGGGGATACCCATGTGTCACCCCCTACCCCCTATCTGTCTAATCACAAGACTCCCTCACATTGGGACCATTGTACCTGAAGTTCTGCTTTTGTAAGAACCACAGATTCTTCCCACTACTTAGATCTACTTCCTTCAAAATCTTAGAGAGGCACCCAGGGATTCAGAGCCACCTTAGGGTCATGCTTACAGGCATTGTTCCTCGGACCTGTGTGTTGAGCAGAGTCAAGTTTTTAGGCATGGGACCTACTACTGCTAATGCAACTGCCCCTACTCTATGTAATAGTTTGCAGTCCACTGTGCATTCTGTAGCAGAGAGCAGGGTTGAGAGATGGGACAATAAAGAGGTAAAATGCATGCCCTTCTCGTGAATAACTTGCATTTGGATATAGAGACAAAATGTAAACAGTGAAATACCACCTTTAAACCCAGGCAAGTGGGGCCCCTGCCCTGGGCCCACACCTTAGGGGACTTCGTTCTTTGGAATGCCTGTCTTGATATTTTCTAAGTCCCCTTCCAGTAATGAGCATTGACCAGGCAAGTAGTGCCATGAGGGTAAGTGCCCCAAGTCTAGGTCAGGTCCTGTGTGGGTTTTTTGTTTTTTTGTTTTTTGTTTTTTTATAGAAAGAAGCACCTTTCTTGAAATTTTCTAAGTTCCCCTCCAGTGCCTAGAACTGACCAGGACTTGAAGTATCATCTAAGCAAGGAGCCCCAATCGCAAAATGAACCTACATAGCAACAGTTCCCATATCTCCTCTTGGAGGTACTCTCCAACCCTCTATCCAACATTTGTAGTCATCTAGATGCCCCCAAGGAGCCTCAGAATTCATGCCTATGAGGTCCTCCCAGAGTCTTGGTTCCAGGAGAGTAGCCTGGCAAGTAAATCACTCCAGCTGCCTGGTATGGTATTTCTTTAATAGTATCACATGAGATTGTGCCAACAGAATAGTGTTGATGCTGTTTTGGAGTGAATCAAATTTTGTATATAGACAGGCCCCACAAAAAATATTTGATTGGGGACCCCCATACATCCTAGGAGCATCTTTGAATGAAACAAAGGATGGTATAAAATAAAATTCAGTGGCAACATGTGTAGAACAAATAGATTTTAGACATAGAGTTAAAAATGAACCAGGATTATCTGTAAATGGTTATTTAAGGAGGTTGGGTTTTAAGCCAGGCCTGTGGGCATGGGTAGAATTTAAGGAGGCTCAAATGATTCCACACAGGGATATCAACATGAAGAATAGCATATAAAATAGTTCTTTATTGAGCATTTTGTGCTATGCATTATGTTAAGCACATTACATTCATCATTTTATTTAGTCCTCACAACTCCCTATAAGGTAGACAGAATTAACCCTGTTTTGCAAAAGAGGAAATGGAGGTTCAAACTATTCATTCTGCTAAACATATGGTAGAGCTAGGACCCAGGTCTGCCTGATCCCCAAAACTGTGTGCTCTTAACACCTTGCTATACTGCAGAAAGCTCTGGAGTGTTACAAGGGACAGTAAGAAGCCTTGTGTGAATGGAGCAGAGGGTGTGTGTTGGAAACCAGTGGAAGGCAAGACCAATAGACAAGACACAGTTATATTATTAAAGGCCTTGGATGTCAAAATGAGATCTAGAGACAAATAGGCACTAATTAAATATAACCAAAAAACCCCATCCCAAAAGGAAAATGCACAGGTATACTGTAATACAGTATTTAAGACCTGGTGCTAATATCATGTTTTCTTAAATATTCTGCCTCTGTGTTAGAGAGATCTTTGGTATGAAGCTTATAAGTTAACATTCTGCATCCACTTGACTTTTCCTGGTGTCATTTATTGTTCTTTCTTTATTCTCCTTTTTTAGACTTTGATCCTGCTCTTGGAATCATGACCGGAATTCCACCAATAACTCCAATGATGCCTGGCTTGGGAATAGTACCTCCTCCAATTCCACCAGATATGCCAGTAGTAAAAGAGATCATACACTGTAAAAGCTGCACACTTTTCCCTCCGAATCCAAGTAATATTCTACTTTTTTCCCACACAAATCATTGTGTTTTCTTGTCTAGGAACACCTTTTTCTTTTTCAAAAGAATATCCAAGGGATTCATAGATGTATGTACAGAAGCTTCACCTAGAAAATTGAAGACAGGAAAATTTTCTCTTACTAGGAAAGGCTGAATTTTATGCTCAGAGCAGTAGATTTCTGTGTGCTGGTGGCAGTACAAATGATAAAGTGTATTTTTAATGTCATCTAGTAAGGGATTCTAGTGTGTTGATACAGAAAGAGGCACCTGACACAGATTGCTCAACACTGTCATTTGCAGTCTTTCCTTTTCATAACTGACTTACATTCTGGTGATGGCAGAAACATAGTGTGTTCTAAGCCTACCTGAGGCACATAAGAATGTAAATTTGGTGCTAAAGATCCTCCACTGCTATGAGCTATTCACACATCACTCAAACTACAGCTATTCAATTGATGGACTACAGTAGGCAGTGAGGTCAGGTTCAACTTACTGTGAGGGCAAAGAGGAATATTGAGACTGAGTCAAACTACTTGCAGCTATTCAGTCAATGCAGTTCATGTGGAAATGATTTAGATGGCTGTCTTGCCAGTAATTAATAGGTTTCTCTTTAGACTCTTAAAAACATCTTCAAAGATATGGTGGCCATTTTTCAGTTTAAATGTAGCTGCAGTAATAATTGACTCAATCATTTTTCCAGATCTATTTGGGGTTTTATTTACTTTAAATGATCAAAAGCTACATCTTCACATAACCCAAGCCTTCTTAAAGCTTTTCCCACAGTTCTAGTGATACTGGGTGGCCTACTTAAGAGAGTCACCACTATAGTGCTAAGAGATTAAAATTGTTTGCCAAGGGCCCTGGCTGTTGTGGCTCAGTTGGTAGAGCATTATCCCGTGCACGAAAAGCCTGCCAGTTAGATTCCTGGTCATGTCACATGCCCAGGTTGCAGGCTCTCGCATTGATGTTTCTCCCTGTCTATCTCCCTTCCTCTCTCTCCAAAAATCAATAAAAATCTTTTCTAAAAAACTGTTTGTTAAGGGACACACTCAAGAGTCTAGGCCATAGATCAAATGAACTTGCCTAACACAATAAACATGAACCTTTCACATGTGACTTCAGACAACTATTTTATTTCCCACCTTACATAGGAACCAGTTAATCATGGAATCAGGCCTTGGCAGGGACCCAGATTCTACTTAGTATGGTCTGCTCAGAACTGAGAGGATTTTAGAATCGGTCAGAGTTGGTTGAACAAATCATCTTGACCCTTCTTGCTAGTGAAAAATGTTCTTATACCTTCTTCCAATCTTTGAACTTGTCAGCAGGGTATTCCTTCCAGACCAATAAGAAATTTAGGAGTCCAACATCTCAGAGGACTGAATTAGGAGAATAATTAGCATGTCACAGGAGAATTAGGAAATGGAGAATAAGATGGCCCTAGTACACCAGCTCATTTGGCCATTTCTGGATTTGTGTTTAGTGCCTTGGTGAATGAGTGGCATTGTTGTACCCTTGTCTCTTACTCTTAGTGCCACTGTCCCAACAAATGGGCAATGGACTTTTTTCCCTTTCTTCTACTTGTTGCTTTTAGAATAGAGAAAGCTGTGCATCCCTGATACTACATTTTTTTTACTTCAAAAGCCATGACTTTAGGCATTACAGTGTTAAAACCTCCTGCTTATATAAAAGTAGAGCCCTACTGGCTTAATCATTCATTTATCACATTACCAGCCTGCACTAGGCTTCCATAGTCTTAATCAAGTCTAATCTAACAAGATGGCTCATACTCTGTAATATTTATATTGGGTACAAGGGATTACTTTGCAGTATGTTCAGTTCCTGAATTTCAAAAATAGCACAGATACCTCGTGTATAACACATAAACTTCCTTGTTGAGCCTCTAAATGAATGTAGAAATATATGGCTTAAAGGGGCTCTAACTTTTGATAGTCTCTATCAAAGGAAACAGACAGCTCTCAAACACATTTATACTTTCCCACCTACAGATTTGCCTTCTCACTTCTGAGTTGGAAGGACCACAGAGCAAGAGGGACGCATTTTACCTTCAGGACTCAATCCTTTAGTTCTTCAGGTTTTTTTAAGGATGCTCACAGGGCATTTAGTATGAGTAAAGTGGTGGCTTCTGGGAAAAAACATGGCTTTGGAATTGGATTCAAAAAATAACATTTCTGACACTGCTTAATGTAAACTCGTGTTCTGTTTCCTTTCTAGAGCTTGAATTTTGTTTAAAAGGGCACTTAGTTTAATTGGGGAAAATACTAATGCAGAAGCCTAAAATAATAGCAAAAGTGCCATTTTTGTTAACAGCCCTCTCAGCAATAAGGTCATGTGATATAGTGGCTGTTTATGAACCCATTTAATCTGCTTCTGTCTTGTTGCTTCATTAGAAAGTATATTTAGCATCAATTCCTTCCCCTCTCTCCCACCTAATACTTTATCCAGGTGCTTGTCACATATACAGAATTCTAAAAGTCCTGGGGTTCCCACTAACTACAAATTCAGAGTCCAACTTGACTCCAAAAGCCTTTCACTGTTCTGCTTCATGTGACTGTCTTCAATCCATCATTTCTACTTGCCACTTACCCATTCTTTAGCTAAGTTCAACTGCTTCCTGATCTCACACTCCTCTCCAGCCCAAATCCAAGTCTACCCTCTCCTAAAACATTTTCATGTGGAATGTACTGAAAATAAAACATTAATCATTCATCACTCCAATGCATTTCCATTTAAATATTGGGTGCTAAATCCAATACATACTTTTTAGTCCTTAAATTCCTTTATCTCTGCTCTATTTAGTGCTAGTGACCCCTTCATCTTTCTTGAAAAATTAGGTCATTTGAAAGTGTAAAACTGAATGAGACAGCCAGAGAGATTATATAGATCAAGAAGGAAGACAACCAAACAGAGCACCCTGAGGAATCGCAACATCTCAAAATTTAAAGGAGCAAGAATAGTTTGCTTATGTACATCCCTTAGCAGCAAAGTCCTCAAAAGACTTTTATCTTTTCAATTTATCTCTTCTCTCTTAAGTCTTCTTCATTTATGCTTTTTCTCCACACCTCTGTCAAAATATCCCTTGTTTAAAGGCACTGGTGACCTAACAATACTAAAGCCAGGGGTTAATTCTCAATTCTCTTCCTAACTGACCTAATAGCCATATATGATGCAGTTGATTACTCCTTACTCATTGATACACTTTCTTCACTTGGCTTCCAGGAAAACTATTGGTTCTCCTCCCACCACACTGATTTGTTCTTCGCAGTCTCCTTTGCCTATCCTTCTGTTCTCCCTGCCTTTTTATCATTGGAGAGAGCCTCATGGCTCAGCCTTGAACCTGTTCTCTAGCTACACTCATACCTTTGATTATCTCATCCAATCTCATGGCTGCAAAACCATCTATATGCCAGTGACCCTAAATTATATGTTTAGCTCAGACCTTGTCTCTGAACCCCAAATTTATATTCAACTGCCTACCTATTATCTCCACTTAGATGTCAAGTATACATCTCAACTTAATATGTTCAAAATGAAACTCCTAATCTTCCTCCTCAAACCATTTCCACTAGTATCGTTCTCCATCTCAGATAGTGGCAGCTCTTTCAGTGTCTCAGGTTAAAACTTAAAGGTCATCCTTACCTACTTTATTTTCCTCACACACCATATTTAATCTGTTAGAAAACTCTATCAGATCTACCTTCAAATTTATATAGGTAAATCTAGAATTCTATCCTCAAAATAACCATTACTATGACCCCGTTTATATATACAACTATACATTTTTCTGAACTATTGCAATAACCTCCTTATTGTTTTTCTCTTTCACTCTTGCCCCTCACAGTCTATTATCAAGAGATTAAGCAGAGTAGTCCTTTTAAAAGCCTGAGTCAGATCATGCCCCTCCTCTACTGAAAACCTTTTAATAGCTCCCTATTTTACTCATAATAAAAGCTAAAGTCAATGTAATGCATTAGAAGACCCTTTATGATATTTCCTCCCTCTCATAGTATCTCTTTGACTTTGTCTCCTACTACTCTCCTGCCCGTCACTCAGTTACATTTATATTGACCCCCATGCTATTCCATAAACACACCAGGCAATCTTCTATTACGGGGTCTTTGAACTGGCTCTTCCCTCTACCTGAAATACTCTTCCCCTAAATAGCTGCATTACTAACTCACTTTCTTCAAGTATTTGTTCAACTGTCTCTTTGTCAGTGACTCTGACAACCTACTTAAAAATGCAACCCTCCCTACCACACTCCCAATCCTACTTACCCTCTCTATTTTTTACGTAACACTTATCGTTTAACAAACTATGTAATTTATAGAATGTAAATTCCACAAAGGTAGGTATATTTGTCTGTTTTTCCACTAATGTATTCCTAGCAGTTAGAAAAGTATCTAACGTATAGTAGGTGTTCAATAAATATTTCTAGAGTAATGGATGGTTGGATGTATGGATGGGTACAAAAGGATAGGTCAGAGGCCTAGAAAGAAAACCAAGAAAGCCTGGAATAATTACCCCACATGCTGACAATTTCCAAATCTATATTTTCAGTCCATATTTTTCTTCTGAGCTTCAGACACATATATCCAACTGACCACTAGACTTTTCTAGGTGAATATACATCACATGTGCAAAAAATGGTATTATATATTAGTGGACAATCTACCAGGTTAAAATTCAAGAGAATTGTGTTCTACTCCCAGCTCTGTCACCAAATCTTGGGCTTGTCGTAAAACCTCCCTGGGCCTAAGTTTCCTTGTCTGTGAAGTGAGGATACTGTGTTTCATTAACCTAGATCAGCCGTGGGCAAACTACGGCCCAAGGGCCAGATCCGGCCCGTTTGAAATGAATAAAACTATTGAAGTAAAAGACCGTACCCTTTTATGTAATGATGTTTACTTTGAATTTATATTAGTTCACACAAACACTCCATCCATGCTTTTGTTCCGGCCCTCCGGTCCAGTTTAAGAACCCATTGTGGCCCTCGAGTCAAAAAGTTTGCCCACCCCTGACCTAGATACTTCCAAGGTTTCATCTAGATCTAAAAATATGATTCTTGACATTAAAAATGTAGCCACGACAATAATTATTCACCTAAGCAAAAACCCCTAAAAATGTACTGGGAAATGCAAGAGGAAGTTGGTAGGTAGCACATAGAGCTTTATACCTTCATTGGAGCAGGCAGTACAGTATATACCCTGAAGTGACACAGTCCTGCTTTCATATCTCAGATATCCACCACTAAATCACCATGAGATCTTGGGTAAGTAACTTAAGCCCTCTGATCTGGACTAGGCAAAATCAGTTCTGGTCTAAAAATGTGATGGGTCAAACTGGAGCTGACTGTGAACCAATCTTCTAAAGATAAATGGTGACTGAGTACCCCATTGTGCTAGAAGCAAAATCCCCTGATTTCCAGAAGTCAGAGATATAGCAAAAGAAAGCTTTCTGAAACATAGTTACTTCCACCACCACCACCCCCCAAGGGTGGCTATCAGAGATTTACTGCATTCTCAATTAGCAGTTTTCATTTGGTGGAATAAGAGGGCAGCACCATCTCTCCAGAAAACTCAATTTTGCCAAGAGTTTTTACTCCAGCTGATAGATGTTCTGTATGGATAAGGTTACATTTTGAGTCTGCTGTGAAATAATAGTTCATGTGGAATACATAGTGGAATATCACTTTGTATCTGTGTCCCAGCATGTGGGAAAGCACCCAGAAGCCAGGAAAGAGCAATTATTTTCATTTTACCATCTTAAAACAGGCCTATCTCATTCATTTTGGTTTCTAGGAATGGGTTTTATTAAAAAATTTTGAGGAAGTGGGTAAATTGAGCATTAATAAAGATTTACCAGCCTTCTGGTTATTTCCAATCAGTTGGGATTACATTAAAATATATCTGACCCCTGCTAATTATCTAGGGGGCCTTCAATTTGGGGCTACCCTAATAAAATCTACTTAAAAGTTTATAGTATGTAAATTCTGGCAAACCAGTTGAGTGATCTGTGATGCTCCTTTGAAAAGCAAGATGCAAGTAGTTTATAGGTCCTCTGTGCTGCTTCTTGCCTCAAATATCAGCAGTGACTCTGATCTTAGTGCTAATTGCCTCACAGCTCAACAAAGTGAGTGCTTAGTTGTAATTAGAGTTGTTAGAAGCTCCTCCTTTTCTATTACCAGAAATTATAGCTCTTTATACTCACAGCTATCTGGAATCTTTTTACATGGAAGTTTTCTTTTCCATCCAGAGTGGTGATTGGGGTCTTACAAGAGCTTATCACATTACCTGATTAATAGCTTAGCACTTGGAATTTGCTCTCCTATGGAGTTATCATTGCTATGCCCAGATCACTGTATTTCAGTGGGATTAGAAAATCAGGGCCAGACAACAAAGTGCTTTGAGCTGTTAATTAATGAACTGTCTATTAAGGAAGATAGTACAGCCTGTTGCCTTGCTTGGTGGCATACACCTAAATCTCAGCAAATGCTATCAAAGAGGCTTTCTACATTTACACAATGAAAATAAATAAATCCCCAGCATTCTTGACACTACTCTTAGTAACCTTTATGCCCATTTACTTAGCAGACAGTCACCACAGAATAATCATAGCATCTAAATAGGTGATAACTTCATCAGAATTTTTATTTTTTAAAATATTTTTTATTGATTTCAGAGAGAGAGAGAGAGTTAGAAACATCAATGATAAGGGAGAATCATTGATCAACTGCCTCCTGCATGCCCCACACTGGGGGATCAAGCCCACAACCTGAGCATGTGCTCTGACTGGAAATTGAACTGTGACCTCCTGGTTCTTAGGTTAACGCTCAGTCACTGAGTCAATGCAGGCCAGGCCATCACAGAATTTTTAAATCCCACCAATGTATTCAAGGAAAAGAGCCTTTGTATTTGCAGTGTTACATGTAACCACAGCAGCAAACAGATATTCCTTAGAGCCTCTCAACAAATCTAAAGGTAGACCTAACTAAGCAAACTCATTCTATATAATAAAGAGTTAATGTGCTAATTAGACCCGACTGTGGAATGACCTTCCAGAACGACAGAATGACCAGTGGGGCGGTGGAGGGGGGGGCAGGGGGCTGCGAGGGCTGAGTCCCTTGCAGGAATTCTAAAGATCTGGATAAAGCAAGGAGCTGTGAGTTTAGAAGTCCAGGTCTTAGCTACCACTCTACTCCAGACTTGTGGTAGGGCTTTAGGAAGCCCCAGATTGGTAATTAGGAAACATGGGTTCTATAATAATAAATAATAATAACACTATAGTAACTACTATTTTTTTGGAACCTATCAAGTGCTAGGCATTGTACCACATGTAATATAGAAGTAGATTATCAATTATCCTACAATAAACCTTATAAGGTATCCTTATTTTAGAGATGAAAAATGAGGTCTCAGAGGTTCTCCCATGGTCATACAAACAGTGGGTAATTAAATTAAGGTTTAAATCCAGGTTTGCCTGCTCCAAGTTCATGCTCTTTATCATTCTATCTAAGTTGTTGACCCTGAATGAGTCACTCCACCTCACTCAGCTAAGATTTTTGTTCTGTAATAAGATTTTCGACCAAGTCAGTGTATTTTAATCCTAGCTACTTATTAGACTTGCCTGAGGAGCTTTAAAAAAATAATACACAGGCTGAATTACAGGCTAATTGCATCAGATTCATTAGAGTGGGGCCTAAGCATTTTTGTATGTTTCTTTGTTTGACTCCCAACTTGATTCTAATGTGCTGCCAGAATTGAGAATCACTGGAAGTGTGATACCTAGAATCCTTTCCAGTTCTTAAAAACTAAGAAGCATAAGTCTCAAGAGATTCTGGACTTCATCTTCCCCTTTTGATTAAAACTATAACCTCTCCAGTGTCCATGACTAAGACATTGCAGATTCCTGCTCACTAGGTTATCTTCTTTTTCCCTTTAAATTTCTCATATGGATCAAGAAACCAATACAGTGAGTTCTTAAAATTATTGACGTTTTAAAAATTAACAGAAACTTTGTAAGTTCCCTGGATCTCTCTCCCCTTTTATTGACTCAGCAGAGGGAAAGAGAACATCATGAGAGCGTGATTATTCTGAGCCACACTGATAAGACAGACAGCGGTAGCAAAAGGACAAAGGTAGAGATGCTGATACCCAAGGAAGCTCCAAAATCACCTGCATGCTAACTTGGATAAAAGCCAGGTGGGGGCCTGGACTTAATCCATAAGTGAGACTCATTTATTTTTATATGTGAGCTGTAATCACTGGTTGTTGAGCTCTCCAAATCTTGAGCTGGAAGAATTATTGTTAAGAGCTAAGTGGAAAGAACGGATTACACAAAATAAATCCTTGCACACCCAAAAGCAACACTAGAAAAACCTTTGACCATCATGCTTTGTATTGGGGACTATCAGCTGTGGGATTTTGCTTGGAAAATGCTTTGAAACATATAAATAGCAATAAGGAGCTGAAAGACACAACAGGCTTCATATATAAAATGAGTGAGTAGGAAGCCCTTTTTTTTTTTTAAAGCAGAGAGAACATCGTCTCATTAAGCAGGTTTATAATGTCTGTCTATAGCCAAGTTTATGTCACTTTAATGATTTCCCAGGTGGGTTTACTTTTTCTTCTTTCATAGTTTCCTCTAAATGCTGTATGGTTGGCTCTCGACCTCAGCTCTCTCCATCAAGGATTTTGAGGAAGAGCTCACTGGTATCAAAACAAAACAAAACAAAAAAACTTAAAAGGATCATTTTTACTCTGACCGACATTGTCAATCAAATCATTCTGAGATCTATAACTATTTTTGTAAATGTTCATCCCATCATTGTCAAATTAATCTTAAAACAGTTCTTTCAGTAAGGATGAACAGAGAGAATATGGTAACTACAAACTGAATTATACAAACTCTTGTCTCAGGGACCCTGGTTCTGAGAATTCCTGAAACAAAGAGTTTAAATTAAGTGTTATTTCACCCAAAGAACTGTCTTCTTAATAAAAATTACTGAAAGTCAAGAATAGCTGGTTGTCACAACAAAAGTAAAGAACGTAACTGAAAAGCTCTGCATGGGACAGACAAACAGGTCTGAGTCTATATCCTGTAGCCATTATGGGCACCAAACCATTGAATAAAATGATTTTCAGGTTCATGCAATCAATTTTCTGTGGAGCAGAGATGAGCACCTTGGAGCTACTTGCTTCTGGCACTTTTCAGCAAAAGTCTGGTGGGGACAGTAAGGCTATCTCTGGGATATTTTAGGTTTCGAAGAGGTCTATCTCAAGGGCACATTTTAATTTCAAATGCTTTTTCACTTACATTTAGATCTTCCACCTCCTGCAACCCGAGAACGACCACCAGGATGCAAAACAGTATTTGTGGGTGGCCTGCCTGAAAATGGGACAGAGCAGATCATCGTGGAAGTGTTTGAACAGTGTGGAGAGATCATTGCTATTCGGAAGAGCAAAAAGAATTTTTGTCACATTCGCTTTGCTGAGGAGTACATGGTGGACAAAGCCCTTTATCTTTCTGGTAAGTATTTAGTCATGAGGATTCTGCCTACCAGGCACAGTGCAGAGATTGGTGATCAATGTATTTGCATCTGTGGCAACTAAAGTTTGGGCCTAATAGTAATCGGAGAAATAAAATGCATGTTACCATCCAATTTCTTTCTTTAAAGTTTTTTTTTTAGTACTTCTCAGTTTTCTATGGGATAACTCTAAACTACTTACTTGTAGCATCTAAAGGCCTTAATTATCTGTTTTACCTCTCAGTGTTATCTCCCAGTCCCCTCACACACATGTCCCAACAACACTAGAATGTGTCGTGGTGTTTTATATCTTTTCCTCTGACTAGAATTACCTTTTCCACCCACCCCACCTACCCACCATACACACATCTTCATACCCTAAAACTCCAGCTCAAGCATAACCTCTTCTGGAAAGCTTTCTCTAGCTTCTCTCCCCACTCTGCTCCAAGCTGGTTTGGGCACCCTTCCTCAATGATTCCACAGCACCCACTGCTTTCTCCAAACATGACATCTATATCACCATGCTAGAACTGTCTCTACATCTGTATCCCAACCCAGAGTGTGAACTCCTTGGGGGAAAGGACTGTGTCTTATTTAACTTTGAATCCACAGCATCTAGCACATAGCCTGGAACAAAAATAGATGCTCAAAATTACCTATGGAAGTCAGTTAGTTATTGAATACTTGCTGACTGCTGGGCAGAATAGTAGGTTGCTGAGTATACAGCAAAGACCAAGGCAGGAGGGAGGGAGGGAGGGAGGGAGAGAGAGAGAGAGAGAGAGGAAGAGAGAAGAGAGAGGAGAGAATGAGAGGGAGAGAGGGAGAAAGAGAATCAAGAAAGGTAGCATTTTTTTAGAGTATGTTTTTTTCATTGGTTTTTTAGAGAGAATGGAAGGGAGGGGAGAGACAGAGAGAGGGAAACATCTAGGTGAGAGAGACACATTGATTGGCTGCCTCCCACACAAGCCCCAACCAGGGCCAGGGATGGAGCCTGCAGCTGAGGTACATGCCCTTGACCGGAATTGAACATAGGACTCTTCAGTCCGCAGGCCGATGCTCCATCCACTGAGCCAAACCGACCAGGGCAAGAAAGAAAGGTAACATTTAGACCAAGTCTTTGTCAAAGAGAAACATTTGGATGTAAGCAATGGGGCATAGATACAGCATGAACAAAGGTACAAAGGTGGTAAGCTTTGGTGAACATTCAAGGAAACAATGAGTAGTGGTTTGTGTATTGAGTAGACATGAAAGGAGGAGGAAAAACGTCAGTTGTTAGCACACTTTGAATGACTTAGTTGAGTCTTTATTCATCGGGTAGTAGCGATTGTTGACAATTTTTGAACAAGGAATATGATTGTTTCTGAAAGATTAATCTGGCAGCTCTGTATAAAAATGAATTAGAGGAGAGAAGAGAAAAGAGGCGAGGTGGTCAGTAGACTCCTGTTGCAATAGGCCAGGGAAAATGTAATCAGGGTTTGAAAAAGTAGGACTGGTAACATGGGAAAAAAGAGGAGACAGATGTGGGATACTCTGATTAAATTTTCTAGGTGCTATCAAAACTAACTGCTGAAGATTCGACAGCACTTAGCAATGATAAAAGAGCATCCCACAATAGACTATTTTGATTAGAACTTAAAGGTTTTGAAAAGCCCTGACCAGTTGTACATAAAAGACAACATGCTGCTCAGAAGGCATCCATCTATACGTCATTGAAATCAGCTCTCTGGTAATATTCTCAAAACTGCCAAAGAGAAGGGAATCACAATCAGTGATGTGAAAACAACTAAATTTTTCCATTTAAATAAAAGTTCAAAAGTGCTAGGAATTGGATGGATGTTCTCCAACGTTGTAAAAAGAAAAAAAGGGGTGGGGTTAAAAACAAAACAAAACAAAAATCTCTTAGAAAAAGGGGCTAGAAACATAGAAATAATAATTTTGTTCTATTGGAGTGTGAACAGCTTTGGGAGTTGGCACTGTGCACAGGACACCATCATAGCATCACAGTATTTTTTGTTTGTTTACACAAAGCTTTCCTATCGTCCTCTCATTTGATCTTCTCCATGATCCTGGCCGAATAGGCAATATGTGTATAATCATTAGTAGCTCCATTTTTATGATGGCTCAGCTCACATGATCAAATAAAATGAATGGGTGTGGAAGTCGGTTGTAAACTGTAAAGGGCCCTAACAAAGTTTGTTTATGAAATGTATGTATTCTTCCTCTTTCTAAAAAGAATGTGTGGCATTTTTAGTGTTAATAGGTATTATTCTTTATAACAGCTTTATAATAGTTGACATACACTGAACTTAGTATATTTCAAAAATATAATTTGATATCATTGACACATACATATACCTGTGAAACCATCACTAGAATCAAAATAATGAATATGTCCACCTCATCCAAAAGCTTTTTAAATATTTTTCTCAAAAGCTTTCTTTATTCCTCTTTTGTAATCCTGTCCTCCTACGACTTTTGATTTTCCTCCCTAGGCAACCACTGATCCTTTTTATATCTAATTAGCGTGCATTTTCTAGAGTTTCATATAAATGTAATTATGTATTATATATGCTCTTCCTTTCTTTGTATAGATCCATATTTCCATGTGATATCATTTTTCTGGTGCTTGAATTTTCTTTAACTTTTTTTTTATCTTTATAAAAGATTATTACAGATTATTACATATGTTCCTCTTTTTTCCCCCCATAGCTCCTCTCCACCCAGTTCCCACACCCCCCAGGCCCTCACCCCCCCCCCACTGTCCTCGTCCATAGGTGTAAGATCTTTCTCCAATCTCTTCCCGCACCCCCCACCCCCTTTTCCCTTGAGAATTGTCAGTCCGCTCCCTTTCCATGCCCCTGATTCTATTACATTCACCAGTTTATTCTGTTCATCAGATTTTTTTATTCATTTGATTTTTAGATTCACTTGTTGATAGATATGTATTTGTTGTCACTTTGTTGTGCATAATTTTTTATCTTTACCTTTTTCTTCTTCTTCCTCTTCTTAAAGAATACCCTTCAGCATTTCATATAATACTGGTTTGGTGGTGTTGAACTCCTTTAGCTATTTCTTGTCTGTGAAGCTCTTTATCTGACCTTCAATTCTAAAGGATAGCTTTGCTGGGTAGAGTAATCTTGGTTGTAGGTTCTTGCTATTCATCACTTTGAATATTTCTTGCCACTGCCTTCTGGCCCGCATAGTTTCTGTTGAGAAATCAGCTGACAGTCGTATGGGTACTCCCTTGTAGGTAACTAACTGTTTTTCTCTTGCTGCTTTTAAGATTCTCTCTTTGTCTTTTGCCCTTGGCATTTTAATTATGATGTGTCTTGGTGTGGTCCTCTTTGGATTCCTCTTGTTTGGGGTTCTCTGTGCTTCCTGGACTTGTAAGTCTATTTCTTTCACCAGGTAAGGGAAGTTTTCTGTCATTATTTCTTCAAATAGGTTTTCAATATCTTGCTCTCTCTCTTCTTCTGGCACCCCCATAATTCAGAGGTTGGTACACTTGAAGTTGTCCCAGAGGCTCCTTATACTGTCTTCATATTTTTGGATTCTTTTTTCTTTTCGCTCTTCCAGGTGGGTGTTTTTTGTTTCCTCATATTTCAGATATTTGACTTGATTCTTGGGATCATCTTGTCTACTGTTGAATCTCTGTATATTACTCTTCATTTCAGTCAGTGTATGCTTAATTTCTGACTGGTCCTTTTCCTTTTTTTTTTTTTTTTTTTTTTTTTCATTCTCACTAAGATCCTTGAAGGTCTCACTAAGTTCCTTGGATGTTTCTATAAGATTCTTGAATAACCTTATAACTGTGGCTTTGAACTCTATATCCAGTAGTTTGCTTTCTTCCATTTCTTTCATTTCTGGCATGTTTCTTTGTCTCCACATTTTGACTGCTTCCCTGTGTTTGTTTCTATGTATTGGGTAGCTGCTAAGTCTCCTTGAGTTGATAGAGTGGCCTTGTGTGGTAGGTGTCCTATAGGGCCCAGTGGCTCAGCCTCCCAGGTCACCTGAGGTGGCACTCTTGGTGCACCCCTTTGTGGGCTGTGTGCACAGTCTTGTAGTTGAGCCTTGATTGCTGTTGGTGTCGCTGGGAGGAATTGACCTCCAGGCCAATTGGCTGTGAGGACCAGCTGTGTCTACAATGGAAGAGCTGCTGTGCAGGAGACACCCTTATGGGACAGGACTTGCTTCAGTGGGGCTTTGGTGCTCACCGAGTCTGCCCCTTGAGTGTGTCACTTATGGATGTGAAGAGTTGTACTCTGGTATGGTCTCACATTGACCACTGGGTACACTGACTCTTGGATCTCCAAGGAAGTGCAGTCAGCCACTGCCTGGGGCCACCCAGCAGGAGCTATGGTGAGATCTGCAGATTCCTCCTTTTTTTTATCAGTTTGGAAGTGCCCAGATGAGGCCCAGCTGTGAAGCAAGGCAGGCTGTTACTGCTGGCCTGGGGCCTTCTTTTAATAGCTTTGGGGCTCCCTGACCCAGCTGCTGCCTGTTTGACAGGTTTTAGGCTGTGAAAGGACAGGCCATTCATATGCAAAAGCCACTGCACACAGCTTGGATGGGGTTGTAAATTGGGTGGGGCAGGGTTTCTGGGAATCCCCAGGGTGGAGCAAATAGCAATGGCTGCCAGTCAGCCCTGCAACTGGAGAGGTCCCAGCACAGGAACAATGACTGCTGCAAGCACCTCTGTCTGAAAGAAAGCTACCCTCGAGTTCCTGCCCCAATGCCAGACATTCGTTTATCCCTGTATGTGTCTGGGTCCCCCAGAGTCTCGCCCAGAACTGGAGTTCAGAGCAAGCAGGAGCTTGTATCTCCCTCCTGATTAAAAAAGCAGCACACCTGGGTGCCAGCCTGTTCTGCAACTCCGCACCTCCTACAAGTCTCAATGCACTATCTTCACCTCTCTGGTTGTAGTACTTCCACTCAGCCAGCTTTCCCGTGGTTCTGGATGATAGTTGTTCTGTCTTTTAGTTGCAATTTTGATGTGTTTGTG